GGAATAAAAGAAAATAGTGGGAAGGTACCAGAAGTACTTGGGGTGGTGGAGGGAGCAACACCCATAAAAATAAGTAATGTCAAAGAGAGTCCATGTAAGTTTTAGAATGCAAGTAATTGTAAGTGAATCACACATGAAAGAAATAAGCTCAAATCTCGCATGGTTTAATTATGTCAATTGATTAAAAATTTGATTTTTTATGAAGAAAACTATTGAACTGTTCTTGAATGAACACGTTTATCACTTTAGAAACTCTCAACTTAGTCTAGTAAATCAAAAAGCACTCATAAGAATTAAAACATAGATAGCAAAAGTGAAATTAAAAACTAGTTTAAATAGAAAAATGAAGTTAGTCAAAACAACTAAGTTCAAAACAACAATTAAAACTAAAAACAACAAACAACAATCAACTTTTAAAAAAACAAAAACAACAAAAACAAATACAAAAGTAGAACTCAAAATCGTGAAAAAGTAAACAACAATCTAAATAGTGAATGAAAATGAGAAAAATTACAGTTAAATAGAGTAATTTTAGTATATCTTTTAAGATTGTGTAAGTAGTATTAGGCTTACACTGAAAAATATGTAATTTTAGTAGAAGTTTTTTTTATGTTATCGGAGGTTTTAACCCTCAAAAAATATAATTCCCGAGGTTGCAAAACCTCCTAGAAAAAGCTGCGTTAGTAAATAATTATTGGCGGTTTCGGAAAAACCGCCGAAATTAATAGGGATTTTGCGAAAACCATCAAAAATAGCCGGGGTTTTGCGAAAATAGTCGGAGTTTCGCAAAAACCACTCCTGTTTCCAGGGATTTTCTTCAAAACCACCGAAAATGTTTATATTGTTTGCCAGCCTATTCACAAAGGCATATTATATTATGATTTTTAAGTCTTTGGCCAGAGAACTATTATTACAAGATTAAAGATTAAAGATTAAAGAACAGTTCAATTAATGTCTACTGTGATCGCACAACCTTGAAACAGTAGTTGGTAATAATATCCCAAAGGAGACTAATGGAATGATGAAGAGAATTAGCACATGTTTGATCTGGTTTTAGATTAAGTTAATCTTCTTCATAATTCATGAAACTATTCAAATAGTTTTCATTTTTCACCTTAAACCAAATATACTACAAACTTAACAACCTGGTTTAAGATTAAGTTAGTCTTGTTCATAATTCATGAAACTATTCAAATAGTTTTCATTTTTCACCTTAAACCAAATATACTACAAACTTAACAACCTGGTTTCAGATTAAGTTAGTCTTGTTCATAATTCATGAAACTATTCAAATAGTTTTCATTTTTCACCTTAAACCAAATATACTACAAACTTAACAACCAGGATGACAATTAATCAAAGGTGCAAGAAAGACATAGAATCAGGACTTGAATACACTAAAAGAAAACAAAAATCTTTCCTCCAACCTACATTCCACTTTCTACTTATCTTGTCACCAATTTCCACTCCCTTGACTTTGGGATTTTCTCTCACAGTTTTCTCCAACCTTTTACTCAACCATTTTGAATTAAGTAATTTGACTTTGTGCTCTCTACTACAACTGTGGTTGTCAACAATAGTCCTTAATTGCCACGTTCGTACTGCATTCATATAAGCACAGTATGCCATCCAGGGGCAATTTCCTTTACCACCCATACATTTGACCCTAATTCTGCTTTTATTATATTTTACAATTTAAAATGATATAAAATCCACGTATTAAGCTCAAATTGTGCCACCTACAAATAAAAGGATGCCTCAGCATGCCACCTGTTTAAAAAGTCAACGCTGTCCATTGCATTTAACGGAAAGGGTATTATTAACTCAATTTTGTCAAATTAGGGACCCAATTGAGCACTTCCAAAATAGGAGGACCCAATTGATATGAATCCGCATAAACAGGACCTCCGAATACATTAAACCATACAAATATTAAACAAAAATAATTCAAAAAATATAAAAATTTAAAACATTCAATAAATAATTTTTTAATAGAAACTTATTTAAAAATAATCAAATTTATAAATAACTTAAAAATTAATTAAACCTTTAAAATAATTAAAAAAATCATCATTATGTGACTCAATTAAATTAGGTTATATATATATATATATATATATATATATAATTTTAATTTTTAATTGAGTCACATAATGATGATTTTTTTTAATTATTTTAAAGGTTTAATTAATTTTAAGTTATTTATAAATTTGATTATTTTTATATATATATTTGGTTTTCTTTGGCTTATCTCGTAATATATATATATATATATATATATATATATATATATATATATATATATTAAGAATCCATTAATATATTAAATTTATTTAAAGATATATAAACTTAATTCTATAATACAACTGTTTTAAAATAAAAACCATTAAAAAATATATTCAATTAATTCAGATATTTACAAAAGGACAGCATGTCTCTTGGCTAACGAATTAACCAGCAACATATAAAATTAAAGTTTGCCTTTCAAGATTAAATATCCCATGCTCATCCTAAAAGTTATTTCGCCAAAAAATTCTATTAAATTGTTCATGAAAGATCAGCATTCCAAATTCTAAAATAAAATAATCATATGATATACTATATAATTTTACAGTAATTTTGTTTTTATCTTGAAAGAACAACGTCCCCTTGTTCTAAAATGTTATTTACTTTTTTTTAAGTAAATAGTTATTTCCTGTAGCATATAATTATTTGTCATAAATCACAATTTTTTTTAAATTTATATTATTATTATTCACTTTCTTTCTTCTTAGTTTTCTTTTAATAAATATGTTTTGGTATATTTATACAGGGCGGAAAGACTAACCTTCTTATTTTTGTTTAACTATTGTCTAACTTTTATATCTCTTTCTTCAAGTCCTTCTAGTGTGATTCGTTGGAAAGATATCTCTTAAAGACAGTCCAACGCTCAAGTCAATGACAGACATAAGAATAGTGATAATATTTGGTAGAAAGTGTATATTCATAATTCTGTAAAACTTACCTACTTTTGCGATTTAGCCCTTTATTTATAGGCTATCTGATGGACCTTAAACTTACCATAGATTCAATAAAACTGGCTTACCTTCTTTTCGGTCTTACTTAGAAACTGTTTTCTTATTTTGTCTCACGCATCAATCAGACCAAACGGTCTTTACTCTTCGATCGTTTGGTCAATAACATATAGCATATAGAAGATACAAACTATTTGTAATAAATGACTAAGAGATGGTAAAATAGAGTTTTATTTAACTAGAATTTTGATTAAATAGAGTAAAATTTGGGACAGTTGGAACTCTTGGTTTAAAATCTACCTACAAATTAGTTTAGGTAATAGAAAATATTCTATTTGATGTTGATACGAAAATATTTCATTAAACTTATTGTTCATGGAAAACATTTGAATACGGATAAAGTAATTAAAAATTTTCTTTAACTAAAATGATTTAATATTTATTATTCAACTTCTAAGGACAGGTGTCACATAACAAATGAAAGTGTGATTACGTAAGAAATAAAACCTTACGAGAGTTATCTGACTCTTGGAAAAAAGATTTAAATACATTATGAAAGAATGACTAGGATACTATGATATGGTTCTACCTAAAGTTAGGCCTGCTAACACGAAATCTACGATGAGTATTTTATTTTGCACACATCCCCAAAAATATTCAATATTTTTTGTAGAAAACTAACATATAAATGACAAAGGGGTAAGTCTTTGATTTAATTCGAAAATTGTTTATTTTCATTTCAAGACACTTCCACGTTCTATTTATTTTCCTGTATCACTAGAAATATTTATATTTAAGACACGTCCACAATAGTTATTTTTATTTGAGTTTTGTTATGATGTTAATTTTTTAGTTTTTATTTATCTCATTTATATTTATTTTTAACTAGTTTCTTTTAAATTTGAATTATTTTCTAGTTGCAAATTTTTTTACATAGTTTTATTCTCTGGTTATCATTAAACAATGATAATGAGTTTCTCCAATTTTCAAGTTTGTTGATTGTTTTTGTTTATTTTTTTATTAGTAGGATAATTCTTAAGGGTAAAACCGTTAATGTTCTTTTCATCAATATTTTTCTATTTATTTTTTATTAAATGTCATTGCTATATTTTAAAAAAAAACTCAATATGGTCTCTTTTGTTAAAATGGTGCTAAAACTCAATATGGTCTCTTTTGTTAAAACTCAATATAGTAAAAAATGATTCCTATGTTATTTAGCACGGGAACAGATATAATAGATTTTAGTATTATTCCTTCTATTGACTCACATGATGAACTTTAGGATCATTCTTAATTGGTGACTCAAACGTTTATTCCATATATCAATTAATGAATCCTTATTAAAAAATATCAAATGAGTGTTGTATCTGTCCTTTAAATATTTATCCTAGCAAATCACCACTCTTTTAACTGCCAACATAAATACAACATAAAAAATCACGTTGATTTATTTTAACTAAGATGCAAACTACATTGAAAATTTTGAAAATATTAAAAATATATTAAAAAAAAGTAATTAACTTTATTCTTTCATTAAAGGATTAAAGACAAAACTCTTTAATCAATAATTACTGAAACAAGTATCTCTTCATTAAATGAGTTACAGTATTGATAAGTGATTTTGAATATAAAATAAGTTGCGGTAAGATAGATTTCTTCCGATAAGATTTTTTTACACACAAAAAAAACAAAAAAAATGAATCTTTATTCCCTATTTGAAGGATAAAGTTATGTAAAACTATTGTACCATGCTGGTTCGTTACACCTTGTAGACAGGAAATGAGAGGCACGTTTGTCATTTTCCTTTTAACAGCTGTGAAAAACATCCGAAAGAAAAAAGGTGGTCGGGGAACAGCTGGACTTCAAAAACGGCTCAAAAAATCTCACAAAAGGCAAACCTGCAATTCCTTTTCTCAATTTTTTTTTCATTTCAACCAAATAGAAAAAAAAAACACACACACACATTGATGACGTGTCCAAGATCTTCCTTGGGCCTTTTTCTTTTCACCTCCAACCCTTTCACAGTCACAACAACGATCCCTCTCTTCATCCTTCTATGCACGTCCATTCATCTTCCTTCAACAGCCCCTTCATCTTCTTCTTCTCATTCCTCTGCTAATCCACCATGTTCCTCACCCTTTTCTCTCTCTAATCATGCCTCTCTCAGGTACCTTCTTCTTCTGCATCTCCCACCCTTCCCCTTCTTCTGTCGGAATCTCATTTGCCCCATTTCAGATTTTGATCCAAAATCCCTTTTTGATCACTTTGCTCGCCCTTTCACCTCGCTACTTCTGTTGGGTCACTCTCTATTTCTCGTTTTGGAAATCTTCCCTGCTTTAATTAATTAACTAGCGGTGTTCGTGTTGTTTATGACGCAAATAAATAAAAAAATAAATAAAAATTTGTGTTTTGTTCTTGGAATATCACATTGGGTTCTGGGAGGTGTGCTTTATGGAGTGGAAGTTATGGAGAGTCTCACGTTGGTTTTATCTGTGCTGGGTTTTACTTAATTTTGATCTAAAAGTGAGTTCCTTTTGGTGAATGTATATAATAATAGTGGAGTAAAGAGTGGATGCACCAACTGATCCAATCATAAATCATCATGTATGGTGTGGTTTGTTAATTTTACCATAAATACCTTAAAAGTAATGAGTTTACAGTGTGAGCTTTTTTATACTGATAATGTAACTTTTGCAATGATTGCCTCAAAATGCAATTGATTGTTAATGCTTTTGAATGAATTGACGGGGATTCTATTGGCTATATCGGTATTACTTCGTGATCTGTGGTTGCACTTGCTGTGATATGTCTATATTTGAAGTAGAGGTCATTGATTTTTGGCTCGTTATTGCTTTTTCCTTGTTCAATAGATCCATTAGTTTGAATTGTTGCGAAGGAAACATTACGACCATGCAGATTCATTACCGATGGTTTGATTCTGAGGCTAAAATACGGTTGTTATCTAATTGTATATCCAGTCCCTATTGCAATCAGTAAGCCACTTACAAGGTGTTATCAGCTTGCTGACCCTGGGGATTTTGGTCCGAGTGAATAGATAACTTGGTCTCAAGTTTGCAAGATGCCATATTATATACAGAGACTTTATAGGCTATGCAATGCATCCTTTTCATCTGATGGACCTGTGTCGGAAGAGGTCATTGAGAAAGTTCGTGAGAAGTTAGGTATATTTCCTTTTTGACTTGTTTATTTTGCTTTTATATTCATTTTTATGGTTAACTTTTAGAATGTTTTATGATGTACAAAAAAAGTTAGTTCTGGATTATTGATTGTTCTATACTTTGTCAATAACTTCAAGCTTTCTTTGTTTCCCTCCCTTTTTCCTCTGGATCACTTGTCTCTATGCTTTCGTCAAAACCAGTTTAAGGTATTTGTCTTTTTGAAGGAGTTATAACCTCAAGGTTGAATTTTGAGGGGGACCGCACTGTTAGTCTGCTTGCAATCCTTTTTCATTCCTTCTCCTTTTAAGGGTAGGATTTGGGTCACACTTTTATGTTTAAAGCTAGGATGAATTAAACTTGAAGCTTTGTGGTAATTAGAATTTTATTTGTCACTACAAATTTACTTGCTTATTATCTGTTAATGGATAACGGAAAATATTATCCTTTTGAAAATATATTCTTCTGCTGATGAACTGTTACCATCAATTTTTGTGGTGTAAAATTTGTTTCACTTGTCAATTTAGATAATGGATTTTAGTCGATACAGTTTTGGACCTATGTTTTTGAGGTGAGGAAAAGAGGGATTTGTCATAAGTTGTATGTTCAAAGTGTGTATCTTCAATTATTTTCCTTCATCTTGAGTCATGCCTGCGTGGTTTATAGTGCAGACAGAATTAACACATTACTACTAATACCTTTATGGTTTCCTATCTTAGTTCTTAGATTAGATGACTTTTATCCTGCATCCTAATAATTTTCATGTCTAACAGATATTTTATTGATAACCTTACATAATATTTCTACAGAGAGAATCAAGCCGTCAGATGTAGGTCTTGAACAAGAAGCACAATTAGTTCGGAATTGGCCTGGTCCAGCACTTGAACGTAATGGGAGCCATCAATCCTTGCCACCTATAAAATATTTGCATTTTCATGAATGTGACTCCTTCTCTGTAAGTAAAGTCTCATAACTTCAGATCATGTTTACTCTGTCAGAGATTTTTATGTATTTGGGCCTTATATTAGCAATACTAACTGAAGTTTTTTTTGCTTTCTCTTTTGCAGATAGGAATTTTTTGCATGCCCCCCTCGTCTATCATTCCTCTCCATAATCATCCTGGAATGACAGTGTTGAGCAAGTTGTTGTATGGCTCAATGCATGTTAAATCCTATGATTGGATCGATGCATCTGGCTCTCTTGATCAATCTGAAGGTCTATTTTCTATAACTTCATATATTTTACTTTTGCTCTGTTTATGTTTTAGTCTTCTGTATTTTCATGCGAGTGTGATTGATTGCCCTTTCTCCTTGCATTTACCTTCTTAAAGAACTCTAACTCCAGCCTCGTTGAGGTAGAAGAGATGGTAGCATTGTACTAGGCATCACCAAAATATTCCGATTGGACAGCTTAGATAAAAACTGGAGTAATATTAGTTCAGAAATCAATACGTGGCATATTTCCTTTCTTGATTTTATTTGGTATCGTTTGGAGCTTAATGAAGAATACGTTATGAAAAGGCTAAAGTTGTCATGGCACTGTAAATTAAACGTGAATAAGGATAGATTGTTGTTCTTAGTTACTCATTTACTTCCTGATCTATTACTCTGTACTATTAAGTGCTTTAATATGTAAGGAAGTCATAATGGATTGATAGAATACTCGACCATTTTGGATTTATATCAGGGTGGTTACAGTTATAATATTCAAATCCATAAACTGTAGTGAATTTTATCCTTTCTTCATCTGCTAGTGTGTGTACCAGCGCAAAGACCAAATATAACAGACAGAGTCATATTTTGGGAACTTATATACTCTTAATATTGAAACCTTGCAATAAGGTCTGAGTGACAATGTTAGACTGATAAGTGGATATGTTCTTCTGTGTGTGTGCATCTGTAACACTTTCTGAAAATGCTATCTAATTCTAGGTCGGTGTTGTTATTTTCGTTTGTCAATACAAATTCTATTTCATTTTACATATAACAAGCTCTTTCATAGCACATATGAATTTGATTGGAAAATAAACATTCACTTATAATTTTTCCAATCCTTGTTATATATTAATGTTACTTAAATTCCAAAAGTTTTATCAAAGACCATGTTAAAATTATCTTATATCATTATCTAATTAAAACTGAAATCGCTCATTCCATATAAAATTCTACAAGAATATTGAGAATATTTGGAAGTTTGTACTTTAATGTGAATATATGTATTCCCCATACATTTGTAACTGCCCCTGGACCTCTAATTTTATTGAATGCTATTTAGATGGAACAGATCTAGCCACTAAAATTTGGTTCTTCACAAAATTAAGTTGGATTTGAAGATTTACAGTTTCCTTTTCAAGGAAATCACCTAGCTTGTCTTTTTATTCTTCAGCTCATACATGGGAGTAATCTTTTCCTGAGGTCTTCACCAAGGAACCTTCCTTGGAAGAGGAACAAAGTTTGAGTTTCTTTTTAGAAACTTGAAAAGTTTAAAGAATTTTCATTATCTTCCCTTGTGTGAAGCTGGAGGTGCTTTCCATCAGAAATCCTTTTGAATTTGAATGGCTTCTGATCCTTTGTTTTGCATGTCATATTCTTCATGTTGGATAATTTTTTGATGGATTGACTGATTATTTATAAATTCTTAAAGCTCTACTTTTATTTATTTTTCTCGTCGTCTATTATTTGAGCTTGATTGGCTTCTTCAATACCATAGTGAACATAATTGATTGGAGAAGAAGTTCGATCTACATGAGTTGCATCTTCTAAACTACTTGTGTCACTTCTAAACATTTATTCCTTTTGACAAATTATAAAGTATAAACAATAATTTATCGTGTTCTTAATGCCTTATTCTGAACAATTTAGATTATTAGTTGTTAACTTATCAATTGACTTAGAACACTAGTGTCAAAGGAATGAAAAACGAGGGCTAAGAATTTTCTTAGAAGTTGACAAGTCGTCAAGTCCTGGAAGTAGTCTCTCCACTTTCGGGGTAAGGCTGTGTACAGTACTACAAATTTCTTTGAATAAATTCTGGAATTTACCAATTTACCATAAAATATGAAAGTTGTTGGTCGTGGAAATGTAGCTGTTTCTTGTTTTACTACCCACCCAATGAATCCCCCAAAATATTTACTACTAAAATTACATCAGGGTTATCTAAAACCAACGTTATTATTATTATACCTAAACCATTTCTGCTATGAAATCATACTTTTGGTTTACTTGTAAATCAATGATTCTCTGGACGTATAATGACTTGATATATCAGTTTTATGAGTTTGTTGAAAGTAAGTTATGGTATGTTTCTTATGCTATGCCACTGAACCTGTCTCAAAAAGTAAAAGAAAACAAAAGTTCATGCCTGCATCTAATTCAGGGTTTTAAATAGCAGACTGCAGGGGTGGGTGTAGGGACCATAGTAGTTCAGCAGCTACATGTTTGTGCTAGTGCTAGTTTTGAAGTAATTTATTGGGCTTAAGAAGTATCTAAATGTCTGTATGAATAAGTACTATCCTTTTGTTTTGTGATCAATTTTCCTTCATTGTATTACCTGTCTTATTTGCCCTAATTTGGTAAGTATTAATACCCTTTTTTTTATCCTCCTGACACCAAAAGTTGTTAATCTGTGATTCACAGTTCGACCTGCAAAGCTTGTGAAAGATACTGATATGACAGCACCAAGCCCCACAACAGTTCTTTACCCCACCAGTGGAGGAAACATCCATTGTTTTAGAGCTATAACTCCTTGTGCTATCTTTGACATATTGTCTCCTCCTTACTCTTCAGAGCATGGAAGACACTGCACCTACTTCCGGCGATCCCAACGGAGAGATCTCCCAGGTAATCTCATTTATCTTCATCACCAACCAACATCTAAAACTATGTTCTGTTAATCATATTGCACCATTGCCAACCTTCATTTCCACTGCAGTTAATGTTGAGTTGGATGGAGTGACGGTTTCTGAAGTGACTTGGTTAGAAGAGTTTCAACCTCCTGATGACTTTGTGATCCGGAGAGGACTGTACAGGGGTCCAGTTATTAGAACTTGAAAAATTTTCTTCTTTGATGTGTCTTACACAAAAAGGAAATTGGCTTATCTTTAGAATACAACAAAGGGAACAGTGGAATGTGCAATAATTATTATATTCTTTGTCTATGTATGTGAGTCACTGGAGTGTGTACATAATGATGCACTAGTGTAATCTATTTACAGACCTCAAAAGTAATCCAGTAGAATAGTTACGTAATGTTGAAAAAGTTCTTCTTAGTGGCCATATCAAAATCTGTTTTCATGGAGAACAAAAGGGTGCTGTGATTTGGTTACTGTTTATAGTAACATTCTGTCATGTTCAGGCTTCAAATAGTTGTCGCCTCTAGTATTTAGGCCTTATGCTCAGTCCAAAACAAAAGCAAGTTCATAACAACTAAGCTACTAAGCCTACTTTGTAAGAGTTTGTTTGAATTTATTTTATAATTTTAATAATATTAATTACTTTTTATACAGTTATTGCCAATTTATTCTATAAAGTTATATGGTATAAATTTATCATATACATAATTATATTTGGAATTTTACATCAGCCTCCACTTACATATTATCATACTATATATCAGTAAATTTTTATAACATTTTTATTAAAAATCACATCGATGATAACCTTTTTATCAGATGAGAAATTACATAGTTAACACAACCATTTATAGAAAAAAAAAACCAAGAGAATTGTGTTGAAAAGAGTACTAAGCTGTACCGTCGAAGCCAGATAACTTAGTACAAGGTTCTTAAATGCGTGTTGACTATAATGACACTATCGCACATGCGTGTTGGCTAAATCATACTTTATAAAACATCTAGGAAGTCAACGGATACGAAATTTTAGATCACACTTGCCTTATCTTTTTGTTGAAGTTTACTTTCTGAAAATAACACGAATATATTAAAAAGGAAATTAAAAACTGGTTGCTAATTATCTTTTGATGAAAATTAAATAAATAAAATATCCATTCATCAATATAAGTAAGTAAGAAGTCAAAAGGTATATTCTTACTTCACCCACAAACCCCACACACATACAGAAAATTACCTGTAAATATTAAAATGGGATGATAATAAACTGGCCTGGGAAATTAAATTGTGTTTACAACATGGCTATATGTACAATTAGTTAAAAAGTTAATAAACAAATAATTGATTTAATATAACAAGAATTGATTTATTTTAATTTTAGTAAAATATTTTTTTTTTTGCAATTTTAATAAGAAAATAATGAAAGGAATCATTAAATATTTGAAAGGTTTAAATATGTCGTTAATTCTAAAATTTGACATAAAATTGAAATTCATCAAATTTTGATAAAATTTGATTTTCAAACTTAAAAAATAAATGGATATATCTAATTCAATTGTGTTAATTTTTTTATATTTTAGGTTAGTGTTTGATCTATCATGTTCCAACTTAAATACCAATATATAACATTGTTTATCACCTACTAATAATTAACATTTTTGAGTTAAGATGAGTGTATCCATTCAAACATTTTTGGATTAAGATGAGTATATCCATCATTTTTAAATTTTAAGATCAAAATGAATCAAAATTTTGGACAAAAATAAATTATAATTTCGTATCCAAGAGACCACAAACATATTTAATTTTATTTTAAATTTATAAAACAAAGCTCAAATATTCTCTTAAGTTTAATTGCATATTAACATTAATTTTTTCTGTAATAAATACATGTATCTATCATTAAATACCATATTTGTGTTTAATTGCCTTAATCATTAATGAAGTTGAAACACAATCAATAGAATTAAAATGTTTGTATTAACACTACAATAATTTTATTGTACTAAAAAGCTAAATATGTACTTGTCATATTAAATTAACTATTTACTCAACATTAATTATAAAATAAATGTTTATTTGTATTTTCTTTAAAAAGAGTCAATAAAGCTAATATATATACTCCATCATATACGTGGCACAATTACCTTCTACAATTATTCTTTATAAAGTACGAATTATGGTATATCTCAGTATGAAATTATAATTTTAGAAATACAATTAACACAACCCTTAACAGAACCCTATTATCATAGGAAACCCCCTAATCATCATGGTATACACCATCATAATGTAAAAACACATATTCATACATATCCGATATCATTCAAGACAGTCAAGAACACAACCACGTACAACATACAATAAAAACAAGGTAAGTGTTTCCATACCTTGGTCAATACTAAGGCTTTCTCCACCCACAAAGATTATAGCAACACCCAGCCTCTCATGCTTTTGCAGTTGATTCCTCCCTCTCCTGCATTTCACTCTCTTTCTCTCTTTGACGTAAGTTTAGGGTTTCACGGAGACCCTCTTTTATTTTATTTTCCAACTTATCTTTAACTCTTAAAAATATGTTTTAAATATTGGAAACCACTTATCTCTTACCCTATCATTTCTCAACCAACTTTTAAAATGAAACTGTCCACCCTACCAAGATTCATGTCAATCTCTTTTAAATTTTTGTTTAGATATTTAACATGCAACCTTTACTTCCTACATCCCCTAGTTTAATTCATGCACCAATTAATAGTGTAAAAGACCCTTTTTCCCGTATGCAAAAATATAAATAAAATCTAGGTTTCTCTTAAACTTTTTTCTCTAGGAATTGAACCCACATCCATTTAATTCTAGTCAACATCTTCACTATCAAACCTAACAAGCATACCGAAACATGTGTTTCACTTTATCAAAATAACATCAAATAAATAAGCATTTATGTTCTAACAAAGATGTAACCACAAGACCACTTAGCCCATTCAAAGAGCTCTCACCAAGTAAGCTACACAACACCTTGTTAAACATACCAAATTTTATAGAAAACTATACTAAAGTCTCAATACTACTTTATTTTAAAATCCTATATTTTTCTTGGGTCTTACGTTAATAGTTATGAAAAACAGCAACCACAATCTCACTTACGAGCTTCCCATTGCTCACACTTATGCAAAGTAACTCTCTTGACATTTTGAGATTTCTCTTAAAAAACTTCAATCGATGCAGAATATGTACAAATTTCTTCATGAAATTACTCACATGAACAACATAGTAATAATAAATCAAATCAACAATTACAACTTCTTTTAAGTTTTAAAAATAATCAACACACTAAAACCGCTTCACTTTATTCACTTTACGTAGTTGAAAGAAGTGTATTTTGTAGTTGTCTACGTTGTATTAAATGTTGTCGTACATCAAATGGTGAAGTACATGGATATTTATAAATCCATAGATTATTCCAGAAAAGGATAGTCACAACTTATGTGAATTGTTTGAATTTTCACCTATGTAGAACGTTTTTGATTTTTTTCTTCTTAAAGCTTTTCTAAAATATTCTAAACTTTGCATTATATTTCAATACTTTTATTTTAGGATTTTTTATATTCTTCTAAAATTTGTATTACACTTTAATAAAAAAGCATATTAAAAAGTGCATATGTTTATGTTTTTCACATGCAAGGTGTAAAAGCAATAGTTTGAAGTGAATAAGCATGACCTTAGAATCAAGGTACACTTGAGGCACAATTGAAAACAGACAAGTGCTAATGAGAGACATGTATGAAGAAAAGGTGTATTATTGATAGGGAGAGCAATATGAGTGCTAAACCCATTCTCTGATGTGTTTAGTTTTTATGATGACAACACATTGACTGTAACAACACATATGATGTCATGTCACTACATAAATATGTTTCTATGTGATGAAATACATATGTGAATATGGAAATGCTTATTGCTGATAAATGCATATGTTGACATGCTATTGGTTGTGCATACTATTGCTTATGATGTGTTCATATAATTTTGTATGCATATTGTATGTTATGTGTGATGAAAACCACAAGCACAAAAGCATATATGCATGACATAATCGATTATCGTTTTGTTGTAATCAATTAACGTCATCAAACAACTTATGTTTTGAACTGTGGCAAAACAACAAGTTTGAATCGATTACATTAGTTGTTAAATCGATTAAAAATCGTGTATTTGCATATTTCATTTTCAAATGTGTTGTGATGAGTTTTTGAAAAGAAAAAGTTTTCAAAATCTGTTTAAGTGTTAAGCATAATCGATTACACATTTTATGTAATCAATTAAGTCTGTTATCTTTTGAAAACTGTTTTCAGCTTAGTCATAACTACTATAACAGTCATATTTTTAAATATGTTTGACTAACATTAAATGCAAATCAATTACATTAATTTTGCATTCAGTTAAGAGCCATGTTAGTTATAATTCTTTTACACCTGGTTTTTATGTAACCGATTACATTACTAACATAATCGATTAGTTTGAGTCTGATATGATGAAAAATATAAATAGACGCATTGCTTGTAATTAAATAGATTTTTTGATCATTTGTACACTTTGATATCTGATAGTTTTGATATGAGAAAGATTTACAAATTACATAGACGCTCCAAGAATCAAGAAGCGAAGAACCTGAAGAAAGTTGAAGGTTCATGAGAGGAAATTTGAGAGCTTGACTGACTGATTTTATTCACACTGCTGAGGTGTATTTGCTGTGATTAGAAAAGGTTTCTACACTTGTTGATTGTGTTGTGTCCTTGGTCGTGCGCGATAAGAAGAAGAGTGAGGAGCTTTTGGACTTTGAGAGAGATTTCTCAAAGGGTTTCTACAACAAGAACGTGTGGTTCTGTGTGTGCATGTGTTTTCCTTTTTATATTTGATTGTGAGTGGGAAAGGTGTTTGCATTGTGAGGATGTGTTCACTATAAATCTTTTGGTGTAATTCTCAAATCATTATAGTGAAATATCCTTCAATCTAAGGTTGATTGGAAGGGTGACTGAATGTATGCATTAAGGCCAAACCAAGATAAAACATTGTGTTTGCTCTTCTTTTCCTATCTCTTTACTTTAAACTGCATACATATTTACTTACATTGCAAGAAAGCTCAAGATCATTCTAATTTTGCAAAAAGATTTGAAAAACGTTCATTTTTTTAAATCATCAATTCACCCCCTTTTGGTGTTGAGAAACAAGCCTCTTTATTTCTAACATGTACTATAGTTTACCCAATAGTGAAAACTCCATGGGCAAAGTGAAATAGCACCGTCACAGTTTTG